TCCATACAGTCATGAATGAATTTGACACTTCTTGGCAGACACCAGTTCTCTCTGTTTTTAAATCAGCCTGGGGCGAAGTGAAAAGTATTCAGACTTGCGCCATTGCATAGTTTTCTGGATTACTGCAAGTTGTTTGAGATGTCCACTCTGCTGTGCCTCATTCCTTATTGCAATACACGTGGTTTTTTTTTTTATCAAGAAGGCAGAATAGGTATATTAATTTTTATTAAAAATGTATATGCAATTAGACAAGGGGATCTCAATAAAAATTAAAATGTAGGCATTTAGGTTTGCCCACTGTGCTGTTCAAAAGTATACCATGGCCTTTACTAAGTACTGAAGAACAGTTTCTCTTCTAGATGACTGTTACCTAAACTTATTACCTTTGAAAAATGTCATTTGGGTTCTCATTAGTAGTTTGTTAATTACCTCTAAGAAATCAATGACAAACCAAACGTAGAATCAAACATGCCAGACACATTGCCAAAACATATGTAAGTCAAACTGTTTGCACCTCTCTTTGTTCAGCTGCATGGCTTTGCATGGCATGGCTCTCTTGGTTTGCACACTCCTCCCCCTGCCCCCAGCCTCTTCTTCACCTTGAATAAAGTGAAACTGAATTTTATTTGTCTGGAATGTGATTATTATTTGTTTTCCTTATATACTGATTTAATTAACAGGTGATACCATTGCTCAGAATTTCGTAGGTAGAAACTGACAAATCCTGGCTCTGAGAACACAAGTTCAAGCTTCTGTTGCAGCCATCTCAGTGAAAGCATACAGACTTTAGTCTTTACCTTTGGTTTATTATAAGGACAAGCTTTTAATAACTGGATTTACATGTATAAGCTCCCTTTAAAGTATTTTATTTTTCTGTTGCCATGTTGAAAAAACGTAGGTGGTGTTGCCAGATAACCAGACTCTTACAAAATCCTTTTTTTCCCCACAGAAGATCTGTACATATGCCATTAGCTGTTTATCTTTAGCACTTCACAAAATCCACTCACATATCAAACAAATCGCTACGGTCTTTTTTTTTTCCTTCCGAGTTATTTTTAGCCATCCATCTGCAAATAACAAATACCACACACCAGTCAATAAAAGATTAATATTGGTATGTAACGGTAGTAAAAATTTAATACTTAGAGCATATTATGGAACTACAAACCCTAAGTTTCCTAATTATTCTGCTGATGCAAACCAGTTTCAATAAATACATCACACACCTTAATAGGATTGCTAAGTCTTGTGGCTTGTTTGTAAATATCTCCATATCCATATGATGTTTACACAGATTTGTATCTATTTGATTTATATGCATTTCCAGATATGGTATGAGCTTTGAGAATGAGAACATCCCACAAAACTATTCAGAAGATTATTTTTTTTTCCCTTCTTGAACCTTTCACATTTGAATTCCAGAAAAGAGCTACCTAAAGAATGCATTGCTTGTAATCGTATAAGTATTGTACAAGGCAAGAGTGCGCAGTGTTTCTTCAGCAAATTGTACAATTCCACCTTTTTCCAGCATTAAAGTCTCCCAGCTGGTCCTTCTCCATCTGCAGTGACTGATCTTTACTGAAGAGGGAGCAAAAACTAAAGCAGCAACCTGTACCAATGAAACATTGACCTCCCAGGAACTAAGGATACAGGTGGCTAAAGCTCCTAACAGTTAATTACAGTGTTGGGTGGGTTGTTTTCCTTTTTTCCTATGTTGGCCAATTTATCTGTAACTTCTGCCAAGGAAAGGTCTTGGGTTCTATGCTTAAATGTGTTACTAAAACCAGACTGGGTGAAGGAGCTGTTGTGTGCAGATTGTTATAGAAATTAATCCAATACTGTGGAAGGTTTGGGGGGTTTTTTCCATTTTTTTTTTTTTTTTTTTTTTTAAAGGGATTGAGACCATGTATTTCAAAAGAACAGGATTATTAAATGTGGGAACTGCTCATGGAAAAAACCTGCCAATATGCGTTGTGTATTTGTAACTGTCTTAGATATGGTGCAGTCTTTCTGATTTAGCTTTGGTTTTCATGTGTATCACAACACTTGTTTCATTATGCAGATCAAAAATTTACAAAGCATTTCATATTTTCATACAGAAAAACATTTGTGTGTATCATAACCTTTGCTTAAAATGCAAATCATCATTGTTTGGTTATGCAATTCTTGATGCCTTACGCTTTTCTGTCTAAATATGAACAAATTAGCAGATCGCTGACATCTTTTTTCCTGCCTATAACTCTATTACTCAGTCAAGATTTGCCTGTTGTTATTCTTACCAGTGGATCAATTTGGAATTTTCTGGCCAGTATATGCAAGTACATCTATGCATCACCTTGGAGCCTGAGCTTTGTTAGTTGACCTAAGAAATGCAACCATGATCCTGGTCACAATTTTTGCTTTTGTGACTGCAAGTGAGATCCAAGGATCTAAAATTCCACTCACAGCAGAGATTTTATAAAGGGGTCTTGATTGTTTTCAGGGGAAATCTGGAACAAGAATTCTAAATATTCTTATAATACTTTGAGGAGTAAGTTGGCTGTTAAGTCTCCTCCTAGAAGGAGTAAAAGAATGTCCATGCCATTAATTTTTATTAACTTATCTCCAGACCAATACATAAAAGGCTAAAAGGGAAAAAAAACTGAATTATGTTTTTTCTGGATCTCTCCTGGTTTTTTATCTTTGTGGGTTTTCATTCCTTGTTGCATCAAGCAGATTGAGAACTATGTGCAGAAGTTTGTCTTGGTAACTGCCCTCATATTTTTAAATGTTGGTTGTAAAGTGTGAAAGAAAGGCATTCTTGTACTGATGGGTCCTGTAAAATGGTACCTGTCTCATAATCTGCAAATCTTGTACTCTAGCAAAGCCGGGCTCCCAAATTTCTGGTACCAACGTACCATAAATTGCATAAACAGCAAAACTTGACTCAAGATAATTGAACTGCTAAGAGTTTAAACAGACATTTTTCCGGAAGTTCCCAGGGGACTCAAAACTGGATCAAGCAGTTCAAGCATTTGGGAATTTCATATGCTTTTCTCCGTCAAATCTGCTGCCCTAGAAAAAGCATTTTTGTCGCCTTCTTTTCCTGAGTTAATATAAAACTTCAGTATCTACAGGTTTTATGACAAGAAATGCTTTTGAATTATTTTTTGAGCAACAGCAGTTAGTTTAGGACAGCAGATCTGAGGACTCGTCACGATGTCAGTGTCTCGGAAGGAGGATAGAGATGGCAGGTCAGGGACACGGATGGCACATGCACAGACGTGCTGTTTTATTCTGTGCTTTCTGTTGCTTCCCCTTGGCCTCACCTCATTTGGCAACTGGCACTGTACCCAGTACCTTGTCCCAGGGTGTACTGCACTGTTCCCACGAGCAAGGGCACAGCGTATAGGTCTGTGTGCTTCCCTCACAGAGGAACATTAAAGCAGTGTAAGAACAGGTGTCTAGTGCTTGTTACAACACTAAAGAAAGAAGAAATAAATCAAATGTTGCAGGTGGTTTTCTCCACAGCAACCCAAACCAGCTCTGGACTTACATTACTTTTTCTGTACTGCTGGACAAAAGGGAAGTGTGCTGTTTAATATATGAATCGGTAAACACTTTTTTTTTCATGGGCAGTGAAAGGTCAGCGTGTGCTTTTCACAGGACTGAAGTGCGAGAGCTATCAACCTGGCTGAATATACAGACGCACTACAAATCAATATAACCTGAATTTTTTTCTGTGCTGCATAGAGAAATTGCTATTTTATGCATTTTATGATATTAAGAACTATTGCTATAAAGTTTCTTCTTGGAAACATGGAATTTTCATGTATTTAAATACAGGAGAACCTCAGCACATCTTTTGGGCTGAATTACGACTAATAACAGACTGTTCTACTAAAACACTCCCCTTATCTGTGTTGCTGGGTTAGATGATCAAGTGCCAGTGACTACCACCAATTTTGCATGGGTAAAAAAGGTTTTCAAGATTGCCCTAATGTCTGAGAATTTTTGACCCAGTGAAGGAGAACTGACTGAGCTATTGGTGGTTCTGCCATCTTTAGTGGAGAGGTCTGTAGCTGGGCAGGGAGTGGAGGAGATGGGAAAATGCCTGAAAAATCTTCTAGAGAGGCTTTACTGCTCTCTAACCCATGCAACCCTGTGAAGCTCACAGATGGGAAAATGCAAAGGGCACAAAGCAAGTTATGTTAGTGATCTGGAGGAATTTAAGGCCCAGTTTATCGCAGGCAGCTGTGGATGATCTCCGAGCTCCCATGGCAGTGAATGCTGAGAATGTTTGCTAGATGCCGTGGTGTCTGAGAAATTCTTTTACCCTTCAGGAAAGAGTAAATTCCATGGACTGCCTACAAGATCTTAATCCATCATTCCTTAACTATGAAAGGTTATCTTATTGTTGTAAGGCACTTGAACAAAAAGGCAGTGATAGGCAAGGTTCACCAATAATTAATCACCTTTTGTAATGATTCCTAGAACATTAATGGGTTTGGCCTATCAAGACTACTGAGAGATGGTTCTAAAAAGTGTGATAGGTTTACCCTAGTCTTCCAACTACATTGCTCAGAACAAGAATATAAAAGTGTCTAAGCACCCTAAAATAACACTAGCTTCTCATTTTTAAGGCACCACTGTTTGAAACTTTATAAGCTATGACTGTAAATGCTAAATAAAAATAAAAAAGGGAAAGAAAAAGAAAACCTTAAGAAAATACAGCAACATAGTTATGTACATTCTTCTAAATATACTATCCCACAGCTGTCAAAAAATAACTCACAGACAAAACTAATATTGGAAATATGAACACCATATTTTAAATTTATGTCTTAAAAAGTAAACTTTGAAACTCATTCTTTACAGTTCTCTTAATCCATACTTCTTCAGTAAATATAAATCCTCCTCCCATTGCTGTAAATGGTATTTAAAAAGACACCTTTTTTCTTAATCAACACAGGCTGTGCTATGAGTAAAACACCCTTTGTGGCTGCAACCATGTTTTTTACTTAAACCAGGTTGAACTCCCGCAGGTTTAATTGCAGGATTGTGTCCTTGACAGCAGCAAAGACGAAACGAATATTTTCTGTGTCTGTGGCACAAGTGAAGTGGGAGTAGATAACTTTCTCCTTGTCTGGATTTTGATCCTGATACAGCTTCAAAATGAAGTCTCTGGCAGCTTTGACATCTTGTTTAGGTCCTAGTCAAAAGCACAATTAGTGGTTTCAAACAGTTAAAAGCTATAGGTCAAGGAAGAAACATACAGACAGTATCTTAACAGGCTAATTTCATATTTAAATTGCTATAAAGGCATACTATACTCCCTTATTGGCATTTTCTCATTCACGTTAGTGGAGCAAAAGCTGTTATAGCACTTCTTTCTAAAATGTATGGAGTATGCTTTTTTCAACAGTAAACCTTACAGGTCAAAGTAATTTTTAATAAAAACCTACACAACTGAAATTACCCAGCATATATTACTAGTTTGCTACATCATTGCAGTACGTCAAAGACCATGGGAGAAACTAAATTTTCTCAAACACACAGAGTGAACAGGATTCTCTTTGGCCAAGAGAGGGATGTATGTTTTCTCTGTAGCTTCTAAATTATTATAGTTCTTTTCACTATTAATTGTAGGATTTAATGTGACATGTCTTGCAGAATATAATACTGTATTAAGTAACGGAATACATCTGTCATTATTTTCGTCATTATTTTGGCAACTTTAAGTATCAGTAAGGTTTGTTAAGAAAAGTTATTCAGGCTGCTTTTTAACTTTGGACTTTTATATAGAAAACAAGTTATAATAAGGAGTGCAAAGCTATACTATGGGGTTTTACTATCTAAAGAGTTGGAATTACGTCTGTATTCCCCAAGTCCCCCCTGCATCTTGTCTCTTGAGATCGAAGATGAAAAAGGTGCTTCTTCTCATAAATCGCGATTGTGCCACTCTAACAGTAACAGAATGGCTGCAAGAAATCTAAGACTGTCCACAATGCTCCGTTAAAAAAAAAAAAAAAAAAGTTCCAGTAAAGCTAAGTAACTTAATTTGTATTTTAAAGGATAGAGTAGAAAAGCATAGATATCAAATATATTGCATAATTCCACTTTCCCTGTTCAATTTAATGAGGAAAAACTAACTGGTTTAAATATGACTTTTAGCTTTGTGAAGATAGTCTGGGATAAATGCTTACCTGTGTATTCTGGAAAGTAACTAATTAGATGGGAATACATGATTTTCTCTTCTAGAAGATCTTTTTTATTTAGAAACAAAATGACTGAAGAATTCAGAAACCAGGGATATGTAATGATAGTTTTAAATAAGGCCTTGCTTTCTTTCATTCGATTCTACAACAACAAAAATTAATACGAAGTTACACTCTCTAGACAGCACCATATACAAATCACATCAGCCAGAGATCATAAAGGTTTTTTTGAAAGCTGTTTTAAAAATATTACTTTTACTAAGCACAATTGCAATGCATTAGTTGATCATTACTCTACATGTTCTATATCCTTTTGCCCACTGGGTTTTGGATCACTGCTATGAATGGCATGATGGCATACGGAATCAAGGTAAGCCTTAATAAGAGAAATTAATGGAATTCTTTTACAAATTAGTGAGCAGCCATGGAGTGCTGCTCTATGAAAGCCTCTTCTGACCTCACAGTGAGAGCTGAAGCAGGGTGTATCGGGTCACATATGTGGTATTAACATACTGTAACATAGCTAAAGGACAAGAGTATACATACTCATCTATACTAGTAATAAAGTCAGTCCATTTCAAGAACACCACATTCAGAGACTGGTGTTTGGAGTTCCTGGGGACAAAGTTGTGACAGCAGTCTGTTATTTATTTCCTAATGTCCAAAGTGAGCATAACAAAATGTTCAAGATGTTGAAAGGAAAAAGAAGATTACAATTACCGAAGTTGTTCACAGGTTAAGGGATGACAGGAAACTTTGAAAACTCTATCTCAACTACAATGGACATTGTGGCACTTCAGCAAGTGAAGTAGGGTATGCTTTTCACAGTTCAAACAGATCTTGAGAAAATTATCTGTAAGGGCTTTGGGACTTCAGAGTTCAAATGGTATTAAGTGTTTCTGAAGGACATTTGAAGGAATCCTCATACTGTAGGGTGAAAAGCAGCCACTACCAAAAGGAATACAGCTCCACTAAAATGCTTTTGTCTAATTGTCTACTGTTTTCTTTTTTGCATCCTTCTCTACAGCATTTGGCTACTGCTGATGACAGCACTCTAGAAGAACTCATGTTTTATAACCTTGGGAAGAAGGTAAATTCTAAGTTATTTTGTTTTAACTTTAATTAATGCACAGGTTAATTTGAAACATCAGACACTTAAAAAACAAAACAAAAACCCACTAATTACAGATGACTGAGGTAGTTTTACTTGCTTAGAAATACTGCTGATGCTCAAATTCTCAAACATGTTTTTAAATCATGGTTTTGTCTTTTAAGGTAGAGTTCACTTTTACTGGCAGGTTGATAATTTAATGCAACTTCAGGACTACTTGATCAGCTTCTTAATTTAATTCTATATGAAGACATGTGAATGCTGTCTTTCTTAAAAAGCACACATTTTTTTTCTCTATACTGTATTTAGATACCCCCACTCCTTACCTCATTGTCACATTCTGCCAAGACTTGATCATATTCACTTAATGCAACTAAGAAAATGATGGAAGTAACACTTTCAAAACAATGGATCCACTTCCTTCTTTCTGACCTTTGGCCACCTACGTCCACCATCCTGTTGAACAGAAATACAGTCAGTGTATTAGTCATTGTCGTAAGATACTTTAAGTACATCCAAAGGCCTTACAATAGATCACCTACCTGAGGTAAGCTTGAACTGTGAAAATTATATCTTAACATTGTATTTTCTGTTCAATATATACACTTGATTCACTTGCTGTAGTGCTACAACGTTCAGTGTTCTTTAGTGGTGTTGGGGGTTAATCCCAGTGGGCCGCTAAGCACAACACCTACCTCCCTTCCCCCCCCCCACCCCCGCAATATGGGTGGGCAGAATAAAAGCAAAAACAGTTGTGGGTCTATATAAAAAAAAAAACAAAACAATTGTTTAGTAAGTGAAGGATAAGTGGAAGAAGAGATAAAGAATATAAAACGAATGATGCAAAGGCAATCTCTCACCACCTCCCATCGGTAGACCAATGCCCAACCAGTTCCAGATAAAAAGATGGCCAATCTCCCTAGAGGCCCTTCTTTTCACTTTCATCACTAAGCATGACATTATACAGTGTGAAATATGTCTTTGGTTAGTTCAGATCATCTACACGGCTGTGTCCCCTCCCAACCTCTTGTGTACCCCCCAGCCTATTCATTGGAGGGGCAGAGAAATAGCGGTGGCCTTGGCCCTGAGCAAACACTGTGCAGCAAAGCTAGAACACTGGTATGTTATCAGTGCTGTTTTGGTTACAAATCTAAAACACGGCATTATATCAGCTGCTATGAAACAAATTAACTTTATCCTAGCCAGGCCCAGTACAAGTGTATAAGCCACTTGAGGTACATTACAAAATGTAATTCTGGGGTTTTTTTCCTGTGTTGGTAGAAATTTTAGCAAAGGCAGATGTGAACATATTCAATTTTGTTTCCCCTCACACTCTAAAATCTCCTTTGCTCCCTCCCCTCCCCCTCACCCCAGCCAAGAACCCCAGTGTAGTCATATCTCACTCCTCAAAAACATCAAATGCTCACAAATATCTTAGTTCTGCATCAGATTCCTATGGTTTTGCAGACAGTTAAGTCCCTCACATTTTACCCAGGTCAAAATGTTCCCTAGAACATTTTCCAGGAAAAAACAAACAAACAACAAAATCAGAGTTAGGCTGATTTGACCATGTGTTATCAGAGTGGATTCTGGTTCTGTGTTGTAACTGCAGGCAGGTGTTTGTTCATGATGAAATGGGTGTTTTGGTGGAAGAAAATCTATAATCAAGCTAGTGTGAATTCTGGAATTTTGAAATTAAAAAAAATACGCTTTCCCTTAGAAAATCAGTAACCCCACCTGTTGCGATAGCTTGTCTTGTAGCTGATAAGATAATTTCTTTCTTTCTTTCACCTTTATGAGTATGTTTGTTTCTCTCAATTCCACTGAACATAATTCTTTTTTGTATATTATATGGCAGGAAAAATAGAAGTATCTAGTGCCGTGACCCCCCACTTTTTTTTTTCTCCTCCTTCCCTTAGTGTCTCCAACTCCCTTCCCTAACTTTAGCTAAATGAAAGCTGTAAACTCACTTGAGGGATTTAACATACTTGTTAGGGGACAGTCAGGAGGCAAAAACTGTTGGCTCTAAATGGAATTAAGCTACATTCTGACATGAGCACTCATGTTAGGAGAAATACCTTGTCCCTGCTACCCCACCATCTAAGACTCTTAATTAAACTAATAGTTCAGAATACACAGCAATTGGGCTGCTTAAATTGAAAAGTTTTTTGCATGTAATGTAAATTTCAAAAGGCATGTTTTGAAACACCACTCAAGTTACTGTAATAACTTTGGAGACTAAAAGGGCTGGAAACACATACAACACTGATTGAATGCAAAAGCTTAAAGGACCTTAGAAGTAAAGTTGCAGCAAATACTTTCATAATTGTATACTGAATCATTTGACAAGCAGTCTTACCTAAATATAATATTTTCTAAATCAAAAGGATACTCAATAATTCCGGTAGTCGGCACTCGGACTCTAAGAATATCTTGCTGAGTTGGCACAAATGAGGGCATAGCAATACGATCAAGGTCAGTAAGATAACTGAAAAGTTAAATATACACAGAAACGAGATTAATGCACTGTCATAAATTAATCAGACAGATTCAAACCCAAAGTACTAACCAGCAATTGTTCAAGTGTTCCCACAAAAGCAGCTAAACAGAAATTCAGTTGTGCGTGGCCTTAGCACAATTGTTGCTGGCATGGAACTATAAAAGCCTTGACCTTAACTGAGACCCGCATGACAATCAGCCCACACCCAGAATGATGAATTTTATTTTCATGATCTCCGCTATCACCCCAGAACAAACATCAAAATTAAGATCTGAACACATAAATAAGCATGAGTCCTAGCCATCATGTTTACCAACAGGACTCTATCCCCTGTCACTTCATCTGTGACGCTTCTACTGCACACAAATGCGAAAGGTTGCTGGACAGAATTCAGAAAAGTAATTAATGGAAAGCACAGCAAACATGAATGCTTCAAACTTACATATTTTTAATATAAAAGATGATGCATTCAGTTTCTCATCTGCCCATGCGATCATTCTTAATTTTACCCTCCTTAGTTTCACAAGGCTCTTGTGCTTTTCATGGCTGAGATTAAATTCTAGGATGACACCCCTGTGCCTCAATACATGAGCAGTGGTTGAGCAAGACACTAAGAACTGATGCCTGCTATTCCTCTCTGCAATCTGTCTTCCCACCACAAGAAGGCAACATGAGATCATTCAAAATCCTAGCAAGGCATACAAAAAGTATAAACTGTATTCCCAATGATACAACATGGTTGTAACACAAACCTTCCTTTGTTTAAGCACTAATTCACTCCCTTTTCCTTTGGTGGAAGAGGGAGGTTGTCAATGTATTTTCCCCTTGCTGCCCAAACATCCCTCACATTTGGGGTCCAAAATCAGAAATACACTTAATGTTAACACTTAGAAAAATTTTCTCTTAAAATAAGAAAATTCCTCCTCTCCAGCAATGCAGCAAATTGTTACTGAGATCTCAATTGTAATAAGCAGTAAAAGGAAGATTTAATTAAATTTAAGATAAAACTCATTTTCCATTGTGGCTGATTTCTTAGAAAATGTAGCTAGAGTAGACCATTAAATGGCATCCTTATTCTCCAGTGTAGGGTTATTTAAGAACAAGACAAACATCTGTCAAGAATGATAACAACACACAGGAACAGATTGCCAGCTCTTCTGTAACCATTCTGAGTTCAAGTTTACCATAAATGCCTAGTCTAAATGTTCCTTGCTGAAATTTAACTGTTGCTTCTCAACCTTGGCAGAAACAAGTGTAAATTTTCTGTTCTCACGAAACAATCATTTTTTCACAATGAAATTCTTTGAAAATTGGGGGAGAGAATTATCTTTATTCTTATTTGTTTCCTAAACTTTTCATGTAACTGGACTGTCTGACCTGCCTACTTGTTGTCAATATATTTTGTACAGCTGTTTTTTGTGATTTCCCCCAAGGGAAAGTCAGTTATGTACCAGCTGTGTTGACCTCAGAACTGGGAGAGATGATGGTTCCAGTATGTTCAGAAAGCCTAAAATTAGTTTGTTTCATCACTCCAGTTTAAAATTTGTAGTGTACCACAGACCAACAGAGACAAAGGTACAACTAATAAAATCAGAGTGAACCTCTCTCTTCATAATGAGCCCACAGTATGTCCACATCGCCAAGAAGGCCAAGAGCATCCTGGCTTGTATCAGAAATAGTGTGGCCAGCAGGACTAGGGAAGTGACCATGCCCTTTTACTGGTGAGGCCACACCTCAAATATTGTGTTCAGCTTTGGGCCCCTCACTACAGGAAAGACATTCCACTGCTGGAACATGTCCAGAGAAGGGCAACAAAGCTGGTGAGGGGTCTGGAGCACAAGTCTGATGAGGAGCGGCTGAGGGAACTGGGGTTGTTCAGCCTGGAGAAGAGGAGGCTGAGGGGAGACCTTATCGCCCTCTACAGCTGCCTGAAAGGAGGCTGTAGCCAGGTGGGTGTCAGTCTCTTCTCCCAAGTAACAAGGGATAAGACAAGAGGAAATGGCCTCAATGTCAGGGGATGTTTGGGGTTGGGTAGTAAGAAAAAAATCTTCACTGAAAGAGTTGTCAGGCATTGGAACAGGCTGCCCAGCGAAGTGGTTGAGTGACTACCCCTGCAGGTATTTAAAAGGCGTGTAGATGTGGGGCTTAGGGACATAGTTTAGTAATGGACCTGGCAGCGTTACATTAACGGTTGGACTTTATGATCTTAAAGGTCCTTTCCAACCTAAATGTTTCTATGATGAACTTCATTAAGTTTGTCCTTGTAATTAAACAGAGTACTTACTACTTAGCAGAGTCTGAGAGCTGGTACTCCCTCCGTCTGTCGTAGCATTCTTGAATTCCTGGGTCTTCCCAGAGCTTCCTGATTGCTTCAACTTGTTTTCTTTCCAGCACTGTCACTTTATCCACTTCCACTTCTTTGATCATCTGAGCACTCTCCTAATCAATTAAATGATTACACTACAGTGAGAAAGGATTGCCATCTGCATGCAGTAAACACTCTCCCCTTTCTTTATTATACTCTTCCCATCAATGAGACTAATTATCAGAAAGGCACCTAGGAGAAAACAAGGAGTTTTAATCCTTGAATGCATTTAATTTTTCCAGTCAAACAACTACTACTAAATATTTTAAACGTTTAAGTTAGTCTTGCTTACTGTCATCAAGGTGTCACTTTTCTTTTTAAAAGGGGACCTTGACAAAAGTCAGAAGGAGCTCTAAACCTACTGTTTTTAAACACACTCAATTTTAATAGCAATTTCTAACAGTGGTCTTGTTTCTAAAATTCTAGATACTTTAGTACAGATACTTTCGGGTTTTTTGTTGGTTTGGTTTGTTTCAGGATGAACCAGAGGCTGACCTAGCATAAAAAGTCATCAAGCAGGCATCCAATTCCTACAAGCCATCTTCTGTTTAATGTGTTTAATCTGTTTAATCTCACCTCAGTGAGACACAGCCAAGGTGCTGCTCTACAGAAAGAAATAATTTTTCTTTGCTCTCTGCAGTTAAGAAGTACTGTGGCATTTCAGTACTTAAAGGGGGGTAATAAGAAAGCCAGAAAAAGACTTTTTTACCAGGGCCTGTAGTGAAAGGACCTGGGGCAGTGATTTTAAACTGAAAGTGGGTAGATTTAGCTTGGACATAAGGAAGAATTTTTTTTATGATGAGGGTGGTGAGGTGCTGGAACAAGCTGCCCAGAAAAGCTGTGGATGCCCCATCCCTGGAAGTGTTCAAGGCCTGATCCAGTGAAAGATGCCCGTGCCTGTGGCAGGGCAGTAGGAACTGGATGATGTTTAAAGGTTCCTTCCAACCCAAACCATTCTATGATTGGAAGTGTTCTCTTCTGATACTGTTGAGCTGGGTATGTACTGATGTTTGCTAACACCTTTAATAGTCTGGGAAAGTATTGTTCTAAAATGCATTTAATATTGAAATAAATTAATTTATTTAGTGTTTGGAATATTACAGATTGGTTACTGTACATTCAGTTTGCAAGCACTTTTTCCACTACACTGCTACATATCATCTAGATTTTAACTTACATCCTCTTTAAAAATGAAATAAGATTTCTTCATCACAGGTTATTTAAACTTGGGAAAGCACAAATAGTATCACTGCATACAGCTCGGGTTTGGATCCAGGGCAGTGAATTCTTGGGTCTGAACGGGAAATTCTGAATATTGATAGACCTGTTATAATCTAGTCATTCAACATGAGAAAAAGATTAGTCAGAAAACAAGACTTTTGTAGTTACAGAGTCTAAGTTATCATGGGCAACTGCAAAACTATTTAACATAGAGCCTAATGCCTCAAAAGCAATTTCTCATTGCTCAGTTCAAATTAATTTTAAAAACTGTAAGTCTCCAAAATGTTTTGAATATCGTACTCCTCTGAGTTTTCATCTTAAAAACTTACAATGCAGTCATAATGCCTGGCCAAATTCTCCATGATTGGAATTATCTTTGATTTTACAGGTATTCTGTTGCACAGAACCAAATGCCAAGTCATCTGATTTTATTAAAGCTGTTTTTAAAAAAAATAGTAGCTAAAAGCTTTAAACATAACTGTCATAATTACTGCTACACTGTAAATTGTTAATCAATGTAAAATAGTTTAAAATGCATCATGATATAACATTCCTGTCAGTATTTTTTGTAGATTCTTTACAAATATGATATAATCCATACTGGTTTTTTACCTTAATTTTACACAGCATAGCAGGACAGGTAAATTGTCTATTGAATAAATTTTTCTGTTTTGTAATTGTTATATCAAATGTTCATGCTTTATATCCTTATATATATTTTACTTTATACTTTATTCAGTAAAGTTTTATGCTTTACCAAGTACTTCATTTAGTAAATTATACTTCATTATTTATACTTTATTTAGGCACTGTATATGAGGCAAGACATTAAAGACCCTGTGTCCTGGCAATAACTTTGCTCCATATTTTCAATTTTATCTGGTGAAAGATGTGCAGAATAGTTTGGATTATGAGTGACTCTTCCTTCAATCACTAAAGTCACAGAACAGATATCCTTGTCTAGAGAAAAGGGCACTGACATGAAAATAACCAGCACAGCATTTTGACTGGGGTTGACTCAGGCTTCGTTCCATGCTAAAAGTTTGCATGTGTCTAAGAGGGCTTTGTGAAATTGTAGCTGCAAAACCAGCTTTGGTATCAGGCCTTTGTGAAAAGAAATACTCTGTAAGTGTCTACATCTGCAAAACTCAGTCCCCTTATCTGGCCAAGTGCCATGTGACATCAGGAAAAATCCTTTTGGGGAAAATAATTCAGATTAATCTTCAATTTCACAGTACCTAACAAACAGAGTTCAACACTGACAGCTAGTCTCATGCTCGTAATTCAAAGAAAAAAAAAATCCTAAAATTAAGTTAAAAATTAGTTAAAGTACCAACGGATTTTGGTATCATTCCACAGGTATGTCTTCCTCATCCTCAGTAAACAAGCATGTTATTAATAAAAAATGCCTTTGGTATGAATTATGGGTGGATAATAAGACAAGAAAGCAAGATACAGAAGATTTCAGTTTCCTTAAAATGCAGTTGTCAGGATAAATAAGTAATGAGCAATTTTAGGAGACCAGGATCTGATGGAAAAGGGGATTAAACTTGAAACACACTCTAAGATGTCCTTAGAAGCAGCAGAAAGTCCTTCAAACTGGGGAGCAGGAGAGTCCTGTATTTTTTATACTGGGAAATATCAGCATGTTAACTGAAGGGCAGGTGTTGTGGGGTTTTGCGTGAGTGTGTGCACATGTGCGTGTGAGTGATAATTTATTACTAACAGCAAACATTCCTCCTAAGTAACAACCAGGGCAATGCCAGCTATTTCAGCCTCTGACTACTGTTAACGACGGAAGTAAACCATTTTTCTACAAAATTGTGTTGACATGATAAAACATATCAACGTAAAATAGATTTATAATTGGAAATGGATTGTTGGTTTCATATCTAGTTTTAAGTAACACTGATTGTCAAACACTGATGCTAGCTCTAGGTTACTTGCAGATACTCTGTATTGTATTCACAGTCAACACAAATTTTAATTGCAACTGAACTGAAAATTTGCAAGTCATGGCAAAATTAACTAAGCCCCCATACACAGCTCTTCTAGTACATGATAAGAACCAGTTCTGCTAATCGGGACTTTTAAAAAAAATTGTTGTGTCTAACGCACTGAAGGATTTTGCTGATTATTCCAAGTAAGTGGCCTTTGAATGTGTCACAAACTGTGAAAGCTAAATAAATTTTCTAACCTGCTATAGCTCTTTAAGCTAGTTTGACACCTGATAAAATGCTTAAATGAACTTTGTTTCCTGTTGTTAAGCATTATAAGGGGTAAGGGAGTGATACAAGATACCCCACTAGGCTCACAGGTCTTTTATTATTTTTCTGTAGAATCCCACCACCAGGAATTCTAGAAAAGGGTTATTAAATGTTGTCAACAGTTAGTAATATGTAAGTTTACATTTTAACAAATATCTTTTGGCACTGCTAACAGCATACCATGAAAGCAGTTTAAATCTCATGGAACTTTATAATGGGATTTCGGCAAGAAGTGAACCTCGGTGTTTCAAGTGGGCAGGGTTGTACTTTAAAAACTTCCTCTGCAACTCGGAAGAACACCAGAAATTTAGTTTTCATTTCCCTTAAAGCAAGAGTGGCATTTTATAGAATTCTGACTTAAACCACAAGAGCGTAGCCCGTGAGACACTGTGGAAGCATGCAGCATTGAAATACATGAGCAGTAGGTGCTTTACAAAAAGAACAGACAGGGCTCACTACCATGAGAAGAAAACAAAACAAAACAAAACTACAATCATTACAGACCAAACCAAGGAACAAAGAAGGAAAATGCAAAACAGCACAAACAAATGTTAACAACATCAGTTATTGGCCTTTTTTTTTTTTTTTTTAATTAAATACAAGCAGGAAATGAGTTCCAGAATTCACTCTTAATTAAAATACGTATGGCACATTATGCTCTCTCTAAACATGGTAAAAGCAGGAAGATTCAAAACCTGTATCTAAGCTGCCTAGAATACTGAAAATCTATTACTCTCTTAAAAATCTAACATTATTCTCCACTGGAAATCAAACTTTATCCTGCAATTAAAGGGCAACTGATGGTGTATAACAAGCAACACTTCAAGGTTCAATTGTTAATCTGTTTTCATCAAAAAAATATACTAAAAAGAAACAAAATAATCAGGAATGGTCTTGAATATGCCTTTTTCACTTCACACAGTAATACTGGAAATCAAACTTTATCCTGCAATTAAAGGGCAACTGATGGTGTATAACAAGCAACACTTTAAGGTTCAATTGTTAATCTGTTTTCATCAAAAAAATATACTAAAAAGAAACAAAATAATCAGGAATGGTCTTGAATATGCCTTTTTCACTTCACACAGTAATACCACTGGGTAAAAGCAGCTTTCTCGTCTTTTGTAAAAGTGCCAAGAAACATGCACAAATGCCAACTGAATGAGTAAAATATTAAATACAACTTGTAGTAAGGACAAATCTTTGCCAGACAAGAAATGGATAACATGACAAGTGACAACTGGTTTGGGTTTTTTTTTTAGATATATAAATAAATTTATCTCCAGCTGTTACATGCAATGCATTGAATTGATTATTTCAGTAAAGCTTCTTTTTGGAGGGGCGGAATCTCCACACTTGGAAAAAATTATATTTGATTTGATACCTTGCAGCTCTGTTGTATTGCTTAGGAAACTAAATGTTAAATCATCGAACCCAGAAATGGCTCTGCATGCTACCTCATGAAGCTATTTGTATTAATAGGCTTGGATTTAAATACATATTTATTTCTTCACCCATAATCCAGGCTACTACTCCTTTAAAAAAGCTTTCTGAGAAGACCAGTCTGTTTTGGAGCAATAACTACT